TGGTCGAAATTAAAATTCAAATTTCAATGTTAATTAAAGTCAACAATTAATTTTAATCACATATTTTATGAGATGATATATTTGTAGAAATTTAATAAGTTGAGGATCTCCACTAAAATTTTTCCAAAAAGATAAATGTGAAAAAGTAACTTCGCTAGCGATAACATGACTACAATGCTCTTCTTCACTTTTCATCTATCCCATTCCATAAACCCAAATCACACAAAAATTTTACATACATAGATAGAGACCCAAAAAAGGTACTAACTTTAAATTTAAGATTGAATTCTACTGTTCCATAACTACTCTGCGTTTGTGTTGAATATTTTGCAGTTTTTATTCATTTCTGGGTTGAAAATGGAGACGGGTAACGGGGGTTCGAATGGAGAGGAACCCACTTCTTGGGAGGAGCTTTACAATATCAATTTGATTCCTACGGAGGTTTTCTTGAAGTTCAGGAAAGAAATTCAAGGGTTTCGTGTTGGTGTCAATTTGGAGGTATTTTTATGTGAGTTTTAATCATTATTGCGGTGATTTGAATTCGATTACTTGTTTATGTATTTGAGTTGTTGGTCGATTAATATTTTTTTATTTGTTCCATATTTATTGATAATCTGTTGTGCAAATATGATGTAATTTTGGTTTTCTGAGCAAGTTAAGGGTGTATCGCAGGAACAATTGGTTTCAGAACATTTTAGTTTTCTTTTATGTAAGATTTTTTCAAAAAAGAAAGCTTTTAGGCTTTTTTCAGGTCGAAGCTTTTAGGCTTCTTCCCAAACTGTGACGGGTTTGGCATTATCCCCTTCCTGTAGGTTGATGGGAGCGAAAACACTCCAGTCACATCAAGACGTGAAAAAGGAGGTTTGCTAATAGTTAAACTTGGTGGTACTACCTCCATTACGAGAGATTGGGCTTAATACAAAATAATCAGATTAACGTTCTTCGGCCGAAAGTAGGGAAGTTGGCACCTATGGAGCTTTAGAAAGCCTCAAACTAGTCTGTTTATATCTCGAGTGTGAACAATCAGGACGTTATTGACTATTTTCCTTGTTTAGCCATAAAATCCGCCACTTTATTCCCTTCCCTGATAATGTGCTAGACATGACACTGCAACACTTAAAAAGCGTTTAACTTCTTGTACTATGTATTATATTTTCTAATGCCCATAAGCATCCATCAATATGAATTTCATGTCTAGTGTGGAGTCCATTTCTACCCAAATTCTCCTCAACTGTGATTGGTGTTGTGTCGTAATTGTTACCCCGTAAATATAACTAAAAGTTGAGCCTCTAGGTTTGTGCAATGCTCATATGGTTCACTAACAACAAAGATTAGCTTAACATCATGATCTCTAAGCACTACCACCTGATCCCATATGGTTAGGTGGGTTTATACATTAGCAGACTGAATTAGTCCCCTTCATCTCTGTTATTATTCAACAAGCATTAAGGTGAGTTTGGTGAGCCATATTACACCGATAAATATATAATTTTTCATCTTATTAATTAAAATTTAATAATAAGTAGAACATTCACTTATAAGTAAAAAAATGTACTTATAATTTAAAAAGTAACTTGTAAATTAAAGAACTCATGTATATGTAAAATTATTACTTACAAGTTAAACGTTCACTTATAATTTTAAAAAATTGTATAAAAATCACTTATATAAGTAAAAATGACTTATAAGTTAAAATTCAAATTTTAGTAAAAAATTTACTCTTTACAATAAAACATCGATAAATAAATGTTCGATAAATTAATAATCTCGCTTAAATAATAAAATTCTTTGGTCCCGACTTGGGCCAGTGTACTAAATTAATATTCTCTTTATATGCATAAGAATATATATATATATACACATTTTATTTTTTGTGATCCTTTTAAGGCCAATGAATATAGAGGGTGTTTGGTAGAGATTAAAATCGGATTAAAATTGAAAAACTAGTCGTTATTGTTGACTTTTATTAGATGAGTGGGACCCAATAATGGCTATATTTTCAATTTTAATTGGATTTTAATCATTCCCAAACAAGCTCCTAAACTCAAAAGGGGTGAGAAAGATGTTGAAGCTGTTAGCGCACTTGATGCGTGGAAACATTCGGATTTTTTT